TTTATTTTTGGACATAATTAATAGTACCTTCTGAAAAGGAAACCCTCTTATGACGTAGAAACCTCATCTCGCCATAGTTAAAAGAAAATACCAAACGCCCGACGGAGACTGAGGCAACTGATATATTAATTCTTTCAACTGTGATCTCGCGCTAAATAATTCACTCTGTCAGAAATCATGTATCATTCATCTCTGTCTGGAATAGTCTTGTTTCAGTATTGGGGTTTTGACGTCACATCATTGCCTCGTTTTCAGAGGTCCGAAAAATCGGGGATTTCAATAATTTTTTATGAAACGTAGGGAGCTCACAGCAAGGAACGGTTTGCGGTGGTGAGCTAGTTTGGGTGAGTTCTATCGAATTATGAAACCAGAGATTAGTCAACCACGTTCTGTGGTTGACTTATCTCTGGTTATAGGAAGGATTGTGTCTGCATTGTCTTTTAGGTAGGTAGAACTTTTCTTTAGACGATATTTTATTATTTTGCCTCAAATGACCTGTGCAGTTTTTCTGTATGTGTATATGTATTATGTTTTATACCTACAGGGCGCTAAGTTTGTTCAGATCTTCATTTTGCATCATCTTTTAGCTCGAAAATTATATCCCAACATCACGAAACAAACGCCTTGTGGCCGGCAGGAACCAATAAAACGGACTATGTTTTTCGGACTGAGACCACCACAATCATTCAAATCATTCTAATTATCAAAATACAGCAGTTTACAATTATTGATAAAGCAGACTGTGACGTACTACCTAGAACTAGTGACAGTTGGGGCTCGATTCGGAGATATTTGTCTATGATGAGTTTCTTGACTCATTTTCTTCACGCCTACGTACCAGAAAATAAGAATAAGAAGAAAGTTGTCAGTATTATGGTCAAACATCAAACCTTCAACAAAAATGTAAACAAAATTCATCTCAATATGGTGTAAATCAGGTTTACAACCACTGTTGCCAGACTTAAGGTATCAATTTCTTGAAGAAACTAGAATATATCTTCTACCTTTCAACCATTAGAATGATCAACCTCAAAAACGAGCTGTCAGCATAATTGTTACTGTAATTTATAATTATATTTATATAATATTGTAGTTCTTATTTCATCAGGTATTCGGTATATAATTTTGAGAAACAATCCAATTTGCACCCACACTATTTGTCGAATACGTTATTTCAGGTACAATGGCGAAATATGATGGAGCGAAATTGTGTACCAGTGTAAAACCTTTCGCATATTTGGCTGATGTGTGATCAAAATGGTGGAGGAGCCGAAAGTATATCTTCACGATTTTTTTCTGAACCCAATAAGTGTGATGCATTGATGAAATTAGCTTTTCGTGGAGAATCTAAAAATGCAATAAAATACAAGGTGTTCCATTTGAAATAACAAAGTTGTTGCTTCTTTTTTCTTTAGAAGCGGCAACGCCGCAGGGCTGAAAATATTTTAGAACAATGTCAAGGTGGATTCGTGCAAGCAAAATTTAAAACTAAAATGAATTTAAAACTTAAACCAATAATATAAAACTATGAAATGTAATGTAGGTGCTCATGCAAGAAACTAAAAAATTAAAACTAAAATTAAAACTAAGAAAGATGGCCAACATTCAACTAAGAAATTAATTTCTGCCATAATTCACGACAACGCATGCGCCAAATAATAACTAGCCGCGCTGGAAAAAGAATAAACAGCTGATGAAAGGTTATTGCATGAACACCCATATATTTTTAATTTAAAATTCGTTTAAATCTTAAATTCATTATAATTTAGTTGATGTTGCATGAATCCACCTTCACTCTCGAAAATGTAGTTGACGTGTTTCAGATTTCTTTCGTATTCCGGTTTTGGCGACCTACAGAGCCTCTGTTTCGTTTTGAAAGACCAACTCTGTATAAAATTACTTGAGGCCTAATTGTACACCCGCCTATGTTTCGCAATCTTCGAAAAACAATAGACCAGAAAAAAAAATTCTCACCAGCTCCAGACACTTGTTCATGCACTGCAGATTGCCCATCGCGTTGTTCATGAAGGGGGTTGCAGTAGATTGCGAATTATGAATTATGATCCATTTTTATGTGAGACATTTGTCATGATTCTATTCAAAATTACTTGAGGCCTAATTGTACACACGTCTATGTTTCGCAACATACGAAAAACACTACATGAAAAATGCATTCTCAGCATCTCTAGACACTTTTCGTGCACTGCCGATTGCCCATCGCGTTGTGATGAAGGGGGTCAAAGCGTTACCACGGTATTGTCTCGATGGTAACGGTCAAAGTAGATTGCAAATTATGACCTATTTTGAAGTAAGACATTTGTCATAATTCTATTCAAAATTACTTGAGGCCTAATTGTACACCCGCCTATATTTTGCAACCTATGAAAAACAAAAAACAAGAATAAAAGCATTCTCACCAGCTCCAGACACTTGTTCGTGTACTGCCGATGGGTTGCAGTAGATTGCGAATAATGATCCATTTTGAAGTTATACATTCGTCATAATTCTTCATGAAATTACGTAAGGACTAATTGTACACCCGCCTATGTTTCGCAACATAAAAAAGCATTCTCACCAGCTCCAGACACTCGTTCGTGCACTGCCGATTGCCTATCGCGTTGTTGATGAAGGGGGTCAAAGTAGATTGCGAATTATGACCTATTTTGAAGTAAGACATTCGTCATAATTCTATTCCAAATTACTTGAGGCATAATTGTACACCCGCCTATGTTTCGCAACCTACGAAAAACACTACACACAAAAAAGCATTCTCACCCGCTCCAGACACTTGTTCGTGTACTGCCGATGTGCTGCAGTAGATTGCGAATAATGACCTATTTTGAAGTTATACATTTGTCATAATTCTTTATGAAATTACGTAAGGCCTAATTGTACACCCGCCTAGTTTCGCAACATAAAAAAAGCATTCTCACCAGCTCCAGACACTTGTTCGTGCACTGCCGATTGCCCATCGCGTTATCCACGAAGGGGGTTGCAGTAGATTGCGAATTATGAATTATGATCCATTTTTATGTGAGACATTTGTCATGATTCTATTCAAAATTACTTGAGGCCTAATTGTACACCCGTCTATGTTTCGCAACATACGAAAAACACTACACAAAAAAATGCATTCTCACCAGCTCCAGACACTTCTTCGTGTACTGCCGATTGCTCATCGCGTTGTGATGAAGGGGGTCAAAGCGTTACCACGGTATTGTCTCGATGGTAACGGTCAAAGTAGATTGCAAATTATGACCTATTTTGAAGTAAGACATTTGTCATAATTCTATTCAAAATTACTTGAGGCCTAATTGTACTCCCGCCTATATTTTGCAACCTATGAAAAAAAAAAACAAGAATAAAAGCATTTTCACCAGCTCCAGACACTTGTTCGTGCACTGCCGATTCCCTTCGCGTTATCGGGATTGCAGTAGATTGCGAATAATGACCTATTTTGAAGTTATACATTTGTCATGATTCTATTCAAAATTACTTGAGGCCTAATTGTACACCCGTCTATGTTTCGCAACATACGAAAAACACTACACAAAAAAATGCATTTTCAGCATCTCTAGACACTTTTCGTGCACTGCCGATTGCCCATCGCGTTGTGATGAAGGGGGTCAAAGCGTTACCACGGTATTGTCTCGATGGTAACGGTCAAAGTAGATTGCAAATTATGACCTATTTTGAAGTAAGACATTTGTCATAATTCTATTCAAAATTACTTGAGGCCTAATTGTACACCCGCCTATATTTTGCAACCTATGAAAAACAAAAAACAAGAATAAAAGCATTCTCACCAGCTCCAGACACTTGTTCGTGTACTGCCGATGGGTTGCAGTATATTGCGAATAATGACCTATTTTGAAGTTATACATTTTTCATAATCCAATATAAAATTACGTAAGGCCTAATTGTACCGGGTGATTCATTAAGGGTAGCGAGGTACTAACCTCAGGAACTAGAAGTCGTACGAGGTTGAGAAAAAAATTCTATCGAGGAAATCGACCAAGGGAAATTGCTGGAAATAGTTTTTTAGTTTCTATATCTACCGCTGGAGGGCGTAATTGCTATGATCGTATAAAAAATTGATTTTTCCAGCGAATTTTTCAACATGAGCTGAGGAACAGAAGCTATCACGCTAATGCTGTTAAAATAGTGCATCTTTTTGTTCCTACACTTCTTTTCGTACGATGTGAAATAAGGGCGGTAGACGAGGTTATTATGAGATTGAAGTTTGCAACTGTCTTCCTTCATTTGTTCATGGCATGGCATGCTTGACCACGGAACTTTGGATGTTGATAAAAAAATTAATTATTTCTTCAATAAATTCATTGATAAATATTCTTCAGACGATAACTTTGAAACGAATGAAGATATCAACATGCGGTTTGAATTAATTTATCGCAAATTTCATTCACTTTCCGAAACTGATGAAATAATTATATCATTTCATTCAAAATTTTGGGGTAAAATCAAAAAATTCAGAAATGTTTTAATTAGGCCCCCTAGTGAGTGCAGCTGAAACCAGCATGACACTGGTGTTCCTTCAATTCAATCAACAAACATCACTCTCTCGAACGAGACCAAGTTTGCTGAATTCAGTTCAGTCAAATTAAAGGTATAGGTATTTTAGTCAGGAAAGGTTCAACCTCGTCTACCACCCTTATTTCACATCGTACGAATAGAAGTGTAGGAACAAAAAGATGCACTATTTTAACAGCATAAGCGTGATAGCTTCTGTTCCTCAGCTCATGTTGAAAAATTCGCTGAAAAAATCAATTTTTTATACGACCATAGCAATTACGCCCTCCAGCGGTAGATATACAAACTAAAAAACTATTTCCAGCAATTTCCCTTGGTCGATTTCCTCGATAGAATTTTTTTCTCAACCTCGTACGACTTCTAGTTCCTGAGATATGGTACCTCGCTACCCTTAATGAATCACCCGGTACACCCGCCTATGTTTCGCAACATAAAAAAAGCATTCTCACCAGCTCCAGACACTTGTTCGTGCACTGCCGATTGCCCATCGCGTTGTTCATGAAAGGGGTGTCCATTTCCTGCGTCAGCACCGGCACCCCTTTCGGCTGCTCCTTCGACCCCCGCTTGAACTGCCCGCTCAGGAACACCCCGCAGGTGCAGGGGATGGGGCCCTGCGGCTTCTCTTCTTCAGAATGCGTCTCTTCGATGGACGTCAGGTGGTTGTGTTGGCCGTGGAATTTCATCCGGTGCATCAGGGAGGGTTTCCGGGGTGGTTCTGTCACGGAAGGGGTAGTTTCCTTGGGAGGAGTTGGCTCTACAGTTGGTGATTCCTTAGATGCAAACAAAACGCTAAGTCATCAATACCAATGGGTACCTATGTATAATAAAATTTAATGTGGTTGTCTTTCTACTAATTGAAATGAACTACTCAGGTTTCGTCTGAGGTGGTATTTTAATAATAAGACGATTTTCCAGAAAAACTCACAGCACCTTGTGTGCCGGAAACGATTGAAGCATTTTTGGACCCTTGTTTAGTGTGTCCATTTAGTGCGATATCTCGAAATCCATTAACACTAGAGAAAAACTTTCGAAAACAAATTTCCTCCGTTATCAAAGGTTCCCATTTCAAGAATATTTTCAACAATACTGGGTGTTTTATAAAAGCGGAACGACTCGGAGACGAGTTTTTTCAAATAGAACACCCAGTATTTTTCATTCGAAATTCATTCCGCTAAGGTTGAGCTCTACATCACTGTAAAAAAATTCAATTTGGTTGCGGTGTTGCCAAGTTATAATTATTGATGAACCCATTTTTGATACTATATTGAAGGGTCATGTTGAATTGGGTATGGAAGATTCATTTATAAAAATTTTGAAAATCTTCTTGGCATACAGTAGTAGCAGGGTCTCACGTAAACTAATCCAGTAATTTTGCGAGATGACCCATTACAGGGTGCTAAAATCTACATTTTGAATATTGTTAGATTCAGACGACGTTCATTAGAATTTTTCAAATGGAACACCCTGTATTTTTCATCACAGATTCATTCATTTGATTTAAGTGTGACAATATTGCTTGCCACTTGACATTCGATTTTCTACATAGATCATTCAGGTATTGTTGCGATATGGGCATTGTCCAAATTTGAAATAATCCATAATCTTGTTACTTAGAATATGATTTATATAATATGTATACCTATGTGAAACAAACAAACATGCCAAAAGCAACGCCTTTCTTTAAAACAACTTATTCAACACAGGATTGCGAGAATAAGTACAATTTTTAAAATTTGGACCACTTTTATTGTCGTTATTCCCACAATCCAAATCTCCATTTGACTTGAAGGAGGCAAACTCTACATAATGATACAAACAATATTTCTTTACTACGCGGGTTTCGGGAGGGAATGCAGCAAAATTTTAAATAAATTCAAGATATATTTGATTGTGGCGACATTTGACAGGTCATTACACAGATAATGGAAGTGTATTTCGAAAAATGTATTCACAGTCTACAAAAAATCTGTGAAAGTAGCAGTTTGGATCAATTTGTCAAAACTCACTATGTTTTAAATTCAAACTTGGAGAGCCTCTAAATGTTCCTATTGTGAAAAAATATATGAACGGTCAATGGTAAAGTTTGATTATACCGTAGCAACGCAATATTTCCACAATACAAATGAATGAAAGAACTATGACGTATACAAATTACCCCGAAATAGTAGTAGAAATAAGGAAATTATCCATAACTTGACAACGCCGCAAACGATTCTGATGTTTTTCTGCGATGAAAAGGCCAAATATGTCGGAATACATTTGTGAATGAAAACACAGGGTGTTCCGTTTGAAAAATTCTATTGCATGTCATCTGTATCTTGCAAAATTCCAAATGCAAAATTGAGCACCTTGTTGAAGAACATGTCGCAAAATTACTGGATTAGTATACGTTAGACCTTGCTCCTACCGCATGCCAAAAATATTTTCAAAATTTGAATAAATGAATATACCATGCCCAATTCAACATGACTCTTCAACAGTGGTAAAAATAGATTTATCAATTATAACTTGGCAACGCCGCAACCGATTCCAATTTTTCTCAGCGATAATAATCATAAATTATATAAATTCCGAATAAACAATACTGGGCGTTCCATTTAGAAAAATTCGTCTCTGAGTCGTCCCGCTTTTATAAAACACACAGTAATGTTGAAAATATTTTTGAAATAAGCAAATTTAGTAACTGAAAAAGTTTTTCCTTCAAAGTTGTTCTCTATACGTTATGGATTTCGAGATATCGAAGAATTACGCACTTAATGGACACACTGTATAGATCGGTATAGATATTTGTGTTATTTTGATTATCTTTACAATAGGTATTCTATAGAGCGAGTCTCACTTTATATCTCAGCTATTAGTAGGAAGTGCGATTCTTACCAAATTCGGACTGATATGAATATCAGTAAGATCTGTTTTTCAGTGACATCATTATACACAGTGCTGTGCTTCTTTATTGTCAGAATGAATCTCTTTGGTTATACGGCTTGTTCATTTATAATAAACGATTCTTATGTTTCCTGAACGTGAAATAGTCTAGCAAAATACCACTATGTTCTGAATATCTTCTCATAATTCTGTCTTTCAATGTCGACTCAATTGTGCTGCCGGCAATCCAATTTCGTGAACAAGGAAGCCACAGAATTATCTTAAATATTTAGAACATCGTTGTATTACTGGTGTCAATTGAGCTGAAATTTACGTTTTTCGAGATATTTGACTCAAAATAGAAGCTGGATAGACATTTTTCGTCATTCTGTATAACTGATTAAAAATGGTGCTTATTTCAGCTCATCCTGATGAACTTGATAAGGGAATTCGAAACATTTTAATCAATCAAAATCTCATTAGTGGCGTAGAAAGTATATAGGAAATACAGGGTGGGTCACGTTGGATGGCCTATAAGAAGTATCTGGAGAACGAAAAGAAAGAACATTCTGAAAATTGGAATGCTTTGATAATTGGACATTCTCTTTTCGTCTAAAATGTTTTCATCGATACAGTGTTGCCACTTCTATCAGAAACAACTAGCAACTTTGTTATTTCAAATGACACACTCTGTATTTCATTGCAGTTTTAGATTCTTCCTGAGGAGCTGTTTTTATCGATGCATCATACTTTGGGTCAAGCAGAAATGAAGAAGGTATTTTTTGTGGCGAAACTATTCATTATTGATCAAAACGGCGTACATGTCCCTATTTCATCTTTTGATTTACTATCTACTAGAATTTAATTGGAAAAAATACAGGGTGCTTCAAGATTCAGAATTCTGATCACCCTGTATCTGTCCCAATTGAATGTCAGTAGATAGTGGATCGAAAGTTGAGATGGGGACATGTGAACCGTTTTGATCGATAATGAATAGTTTCGACACAAAAAATCCCAAAATTGAAAAATCTCGATTTTGATCATCCTATATCTCTGTAAGTATTCCTGCTAGACCCCAAGTGTGATAACTTGATAAAATAAGCTCTTCAGGAAGAATCTGAAAATGCAATAAAATACAGGGTGCTCCATTTAAAATAACGAAGTTGCTAGTTGTTTCTGATAGAAGTGGCAACACTGTATCGATGAAAACATTTTAGACGAATAGAGAATGTTCAATTATCGAAGCATCCTAATTTCCAGGATGTTCTGTTATTTCGTTCTCCAGATACTTATACTAATAGGTCATCCACCGTGACCCACCATGTATATTTGAATCGATTATCAAACGACACTTGAGTAGGTACATTATCTTCCTATCATCTAATTCTTCACCAAATCAAGAGAATTATCACTTATGAATAGTTGTCGTTCGAATTTCTCAACACCCTGTATATCAAAGATTGATAGCGAAACATTAAATTCAAGAGTTGTTACCTTTGAAGTTGTTTCCTTGGGGATAGGTCCGTTAGATGTAGATGCATTAGGAGTTGTTTCTTTAGTGGTAGTTTTCTTAGTTGTTGTGGTTTCCTTAGTTGAAGCTTCTATGTGAGGTTGATCTAGAGCGCATGTAGCTGTTTCTTCGTTATCAATTGCTTCCTGTTGCGTAACTGTTGGTGTTTTTGTATCTTCAGTAGTTGTTGATTGTGGAGCGTCGACATCTTCTGGTTTTTCTTCTTTCGATGGTAGTGTCGCAGTTGCTACGGTTGTTTCTGGTTCTTTGGAGTCTGATGGTTCAGCTTGGGTAGTTATTATAGTAGACATAATAATTCCAGGTGTAGTTGTTGCTGTTGTTCTTAGTGTAGTATTAGTAGTCCAAGTTGGAGTTTCGACGGTGTTTGATGTATTTATATTATTATCAGCTGATACAGCTATGATCAGAGTTAACAATATAAAAGAGTTGAGAGTCGCCTAAAAAATATTTTTTGTTGATAGTGTGTCTATGTCAATCATACATTTTTGTAATATTTTCATTCGACATTAACTGAATGTTCCTTCAGGGAATCTTCTGAAGTATTACTATGAAATTTTATCGTCTGTCTACTATACATATATCCACGAAAAATGGGATTTCTTCATTAAAAGGCACATGTTGAATTTAGGAGTATCACAGGAGTTGAAAATCATTATGCAAATATTATGCTCATTGTCAGGAAGATTCCATAATCATATTCCTTTATTATTATCTTGAGAATCTTTATAGTGATTAATGTTCAATGAAATTAATTATGTTATTCTTTAGAGGTGAAAAATATTCAGGTTTTTGTTTTTGGCGTTATGCATACTAGATGAAAATTCATAGTAAATGTGGAAAACTACACAATCGATAAGATTTTCAGAAAAATATTTGGTTAACATACAGGGTGTTTCTTGAGTACGTGTAGAAAATTCAGGGGCATGTTGCTGACGTCTAAATAAAAAGAAAAGTTCGTATAAACATATGTCCGAAATTTATCCGTTTCTGAGATACAGAGTGTCAAAGCTGAATTCTTATTTTGGTTTTTTGTTGATAAATTTCAAAATAATTGTGAATATACAGGTACGCACAAAAAAGTTATGACTATTCAAAAGACTCAAAAGACATGTAGGTGGCGCCACCTCCACGAAGGAGACAAACTAACATTAAATTTGATATTGTCATTGAAAAATACTCCTAGATACCAAATTTCATTCCAATATCACGATTATTTTAGAATTTATTAACAAAAAACAAAAATAAGAATCCAACTTTGACACTCTGTATTTCAGAAACAAATAACCTTCGGACAAATATTTACACGAAATTTTCTTCTTATTTTGACGTCAGCAACATGCTCCTGAATTTTCCACACGTACTCAAGAAACACCCTGTATAACTTCACATTCAAAATTTTGAATTGTTGAAATTGTTATTCGCCCTGAGAGGTCACGTGATATAGTTATTATTCAATGACGTTTGGTGATTTTGCTCAACACGCGCCCTTAGATTTTCGACAACTTCTTCCGATATTTGGGGCCTTCCTGTTGATTTATTTTTATTAACGTTTCCAGTTTGGATGAATCTGTTGATCACTGTTCTGATGTGGGCTTACAAAGAAGATTCTTGAATCTGTATATTAGGATATTTCGCCAGGTAATACTCATCCTTGCAGGCTACTACCGAGTAACTCCATCCACCATTGATGAATGTGCCATTTCGATAGTAAGAACATTACAATAAATGTATTCTGCTCCGAGGAATAAGCCATCCCTCTTTTCAACACGACAATCACGAAGTAGAAAACAGAATCGTTTGAAAATTTTAACGAAAAACTGACAATTGTGAGTTTATCAGCTATGACAGTATAATGATTGATGTCAGAAATTAAATTCGAATGTGTGAATCTCCATAAAGGAAAGGCGGCAAATGGAGAAAATATTTCAACGGCTACTACGATGTTACGATCATTTATAGAAACCCTGTATATCTATTTTTGAAAATTCTTCATGCATGATAGATTTTTAAAAACTCTTTTATAACTCACCATTTTTGTGATCAGAACAAATCAGATGTCACTTAACAATACTAATTGAGTTCGTGAAGTATACATGTACAAGGAGGTCACTAGATTGCGAATCAATTATTGTTATACATAAAATGCTAGCTGGTCAAATTCTTATGTAGGGGAATATACAACAAATTGTTGTACACCAAACAAAAATCGAAATCAATTCACGGAATACCAAATATTTACTAAACAATGTTGAGGCGATTGATAAAGTAGGTGAGTAGAGTTTCATGAATTTCCAATTTTTTTGTAGCCCCTGATGGATCTCAAATAAAATATACAAGCTGATGATCATCTTCCTTGGCTATTTATGTGGGACTGAAAGTTCATATAAATGTGTCCTAACTTGCTTAGTTTTCTGAATACAGAGGTGTTGGAATCGAAAGTTGATGTGTTTTTTATTGATTACCTACAGGGTGAATCAAAAGGAAGCAACATTCTTTCGGGGGCATAATCATCGCATAAAAATAAGGAAATAAGTTAAAATCAATATGGATCCGAAAATGGTTCCTAAGGGAGCTAGACCTCTTTGAATAAGACGATCACCTTTCCTCTATTCAGGGTGTTACAAATTCGAGGCTAAGCATGGGAACCTCAGAAACAATAGGAGATACAGAGTAGGTCAAATTAGGAAAAAGTCGCGCAAAAATATGCCCAACGAAAAGATGCTTTAAAATTGGAAAAATTCTAATTATTCACGGAGATATCCGAAAAATAAAAGGAAAATATGCATAATCGTTTTTAATAATGTCTCAGTTTATTTGAAGAGATATTTCAAAATGCATGTCACATCATCATTGCTACTTTTCCTTCTCTACTAAATGGAATTGTCAAATTGGTAATCTGACGTTTCTTCTTGGGCAATCATCAACTTTTTTAAATACGGACCTGGATTTTTTAATTTTATATTTCAACAGGTTTCGATCTTGATATATTGGTTATATATATCAAAACAATTCGTAGAATGTTTACTTCATAGAAAAAAATGTTCATAAAAAGTATGGAGATACTCATCTTTGTCTAACACAGTGTTTTTGTTATGACTTTTTCTTTGTCTACCACACAATTCAGTGCAGAGAACACTTCATAATTGAATTGATCTTATTTAAAATGTATTATCAGTTATACGAAGCACACAATGATCATTATCAAGTGATTTTTAATGAAATAATATTTATGAATGCAGAAAACGCAATTTTTCCAAACAAATAATATCCAATAATATGTAATATGAGAAAAATACCTATAATATTAGATGAGTTTTTCATCATAGCAAATGCTTGAATATATTTCCGTTTGCGTTCAAGAATTTATTTGCTTTTTCTAAAACCTTTCTCAGAGCCATTTGACCAAATCGCTTTATTCGGGAAGATCGAAATGCGGTTATAAGTTGCTACCGCAGTTCTTCTATGATCGCAATGGGTCGTTTTTATTAACGGTGGTCCTTATGGAGCCACAGAGAAACAAATCAAGTGGCGTCAAGTCCGGTGATCGCGCTGGCCATTTCACCACACCTATGTTCCCCTTGTTGGCTTCGTATTACTAATGATACAATGAGATTAATTCAATTATAAAGTACTTCGCACTGAATGATGTGTTCGACAAAGACTCACAAAGACTCATTTGTAACTAAAACACTATGTCATCATCAAATATGAATATATTTCCTCACACAATCATATCGAGGTGATCGAAAACCAACAAGATAAGAAATAGAAAATCCAGGTCCGTATTTAAAAAAATAAGCTGTTGATAGCCGCTCGAAGAAGAAACGTCGGAATCACAATTTGACAATTTCATTTTGTAGAGGAGGAAAAGTGGCAACGAAGAAGTAACATTCATTTTGAAACATCTCTCTGAATAAACTGAGAAATAAATAAAAAAGATTTTGCATGATTATTTTTTTCCGGTTATCTCCGGAAATAATAGGATTTTTTTCAATTTCGAAGCAGCATTTTGTTGAGCATGAAATTACGCAACTTTGCCTTCATTCGTCCTACTCTGTATTTCTTATGATTACTGAGATCCCCACATGCCACATGCTTAGCCACGAATTTGTTACATACCCTGTATAATTTTAAAATCCTTCACAATTAAATTTTGAAAATAGGTGTACAGTATAAACATTTAATGGAAAATGAGATTCTAAATTTTAAAGTGTTGGATAAAATGTTAGTAAAAAAGGGTTGTTGTTTTTCTATGGTATGCTTTGAAGATTGATTTACTTACATCAATAAACATACCTAAATCAGAAAGTTAGGTCGATTTACTCGTAAACGGTACGCTATAATATTGAACTAGAAAGAGCTTTTTCTGGTAATAAACTAGAATTTTATGATTTCCGAACAAAATCACAATAACCTAACAAGTAAAAGAGAAAGGAATGTTTTTACTGTCACTCTCCCCCGCATTCTGTAACGTCCCTAAATGAAATTATGGAATTTTCAATTTCGTCGTGGCATATAGCCAGGAAAGTAGTTGTTTTCTGTTGAATAGACCGAGGAAGAATTGGTATTTTCAGCACATAGAGAATGTCAATTCTCAATGTATTTCTTTATACAGGGTATGTCACGACGAGCTTACACTATATCTCTATATCGAGAATCAGTCGGGAGAAATCCATGGAATACGCTCTCTTCATTTAAAAATTGGCTATCAAATTGGGAGCATAGAGAATTTTCCAGTATTTTGAAGAGATCAAATGTCACAGCGGTCTAGTAGCCATATACCCAATGATCACCCCGTAGGCACTGTATGAAATAATAATTATATATATAAAAGTATAGTCGATACCTAAATACGATGTCGTGACAATACCTCGGACAATATACTCAACCAATTCAACCACTTGTTGAGGTGGGTATAAATATGTCAGCTTAGATTTGCCGGAAATAATTACATTCAATTTTATGCAAGGCTGCCAAGGTGTGGCGAGGGGATAGAATCAAAGAGGGGAGCAGAACGACGAAGGACGACGAAAACGGGGCTCCCAAATGCAGTGTTGCCAACACGGCTTATTAACGGCTAGAACTAACCTTTTCAAGAGGTGATCTGGAGGGTAAATGTTGCATCTGGCGGCTAGCGGATAATTTAGCCATTTGATAAACCTCCAGTGCTTTTTTCTGGCCTTATATAAATCAATATTCAACCAAACTACATTAATCTAGAGTTACCCACCATTTGAAGTAGGTACACGACTTCTATGATTCTACCACTTCTACCACAGAATGGTAGGTGATGCTATTGCTGACGAAACAATTACAACTGACAAATTTGTTATTGATTCAATTCGATGAAAAACTATATTTGCATCCTTATTTTAGAATCATGTACAAATCATGATGCTCAATACTGAAACATTCACAAACGCCTGGTTGAGATAACTGAAACATTGACTCCTAACTTCTAAACACTGAAATAGCGTTTTCCATTCGACAAAAATTATTATAGTCTGTGTATACATATATATATGCATCATTTAAAATTACACGTGATGAACAGAGACAAAAAAGGTTGGGTGCGGAAAAAGTTCAGACCAGTGCGACGAGTGGTGAACAGTATAAAATAAGTACCTATTAAAAAAGCTAGAAATAAGCTGGATATCTGAAAATTTTCGCCTGCGGCGCATTTTTTTATGATTTAGCTTTTTCTAGCTTTTTTCAATAGCACATTGGCGTTTTTCAACAACTAGTCGTTGGCAACACTGCCCAAATGGCATGGGCGCATTATGCAACGATTCTAATCGTAATTCGAGGCCGGACAACAAGGTCGATAACATATTATTCGATACTTAGATCAAATTCATCTTAAATATAAATAAAAATTAATAAAATCGAAACCACACAAGCAATACAAAATTCAGAAAAGTGATGGTTCGCACTGATATAATTCATGCAATTATTTATTGTATAGTTTCGTTAAAATATGCCAACTTTTTGGTCATATGTACATTTTACCTGTTATGACTATGACTATTGTGTTAAGATGATATTTCATACAGTGTGACCCACTTCTAATGGAATCACCCCTGTATCTTACGTAATCGTTGGGTAAGGATCCTGAAATTGGCTGGAGCGAGAGATATACCAAAAATGCACTATATGACCAAGTGGAGTCACTTCAGTGATATACACTGCTCGCCAACAGCCATGGAACCACCCCAATTTCCAGAAAGTGATATTAGGAATCAAAATAGGTCGAAAATTACTTCAGATTCGGAATCAGGACGCCCAATTCACTAACTATTCATATTTTTCCTGGAAAATTTCCAGTTCTGAAAAATTAAATATTTTTGCACTCCTCACGGAAGCACCATCATAGTGTTTATTTTTAGTATATCTCCCGCTCCTGGTAAGCTTCAGAATCCTAACTCAGAAATGACGAAACATACAAAGGTGCTTCCATTAGAAGTGAGACACACTGTACAATGTTCACCTTGAGTCAATTCTGATCTTCATATCTCTTCATCTGAAGTTTCAGCTTCAAAATGGGATTTCAAAAACGTGAAAGAAAAAAAGTCATGACTGCAAAACCAGAAAGTTAATTTGTTGAGATCACTTTGTAAATGAAAGAGATAAGACAATTTGAAAAATGTCCCTAGGTAATGAGATCAACTTCATGCCTCTGCTGTCGAAGTTAAAAAAAAGAGTTTTCGTTCATTTGGGATCCGAAATTTTTCACAGTTTCAGGTGACACTCTGTAACGATTGTATATGAAGAACCCCATGTTTCAAAAAAGTATGAGATTATAGCTGAAGGACTGGGCTAGCGAATAGTGTAATCCGAATTCAAATTGTTCAAAGCAGAAAAAAGTTATTCATATTTTAACAGGGATAAAATTTTGGGGTGCGACGAAATTAGTGTTGCGTAGTTTATTTCAACTATTGATGAAATGGTCATTTATACACCAGTTACGAAATAAAAATATATGGATGGACGAAGAGAATGGAGTTTTTTGTGCTGCTTCCTTGATATGACTTGGTAAATCGGAACTTGAATCAGACATTTTCCACTAATGAAAACATCAAACGAATCTATTTTATCACTGATTTGTGAACTTATATTGTTTGAAGAATGATTTGAAGCATACTTCAAATTGACAGGCGAAGTCAAATTTTGTACATAATCGGTATAGAACTCATGTAGAACTGGTCATCATTCTCGTTGAGGCGAATTTTTTCACCAAGACTAGAAAAAATATTCCACGTAACAAGTTAGGAAATATCTGTTCCATTACATTTTTTCGAATTTCCAGGCACAATAATTGACAGTAATGGGCAATGACACTAATGACAGTTCTCGCATATACATATACAGGGTGTTTCATAATTGAATGCTGATCCTAAAGGGTGATAATCCTTGGATGATTTTAAGAAAAATTCTTCATGTGAACATAGGTCCGTAACAACTTCGTTTCTGAGATACAGGATGTTGAAATTTAACAAAAAAATCAGTTATTCCCCAATATCTCTGAAACCGCTCTGGCTTTTTTCTTCATTACAAATACTTAAAAATAGTTACCATAAAATTATAAAAATATTGCTCAGATCTTTTGGTTACCACAATTGTGAAATTATGACCAAGAGTAAAAATCGAATAGGGACAAGCAAATGAATGCATTTTATTTTCTAACTCAAAAACCGTTCGACGGACGGAAAAAAGACAAGAGACCATTTTTATGAGAAGATAGAGGATAATTACAAAAATAATATTCATTTGGGAAAAAGACAGTGGCGTATCATTATTTTGATGAAAAATATGACAGGGTATGTTAACAGGGACGCCACTGATGGAAATTAAGAAATCCTTCATTATGGAAAAAATGTATTTCTATTCATACTCGGCATGTACCAAAATTGAAGAGAAAAGCCAGAGCGGTTCCAGAGATATTGGGGAATAACTGATGTTTTTGTTAAATTTCAACATCCTGTATCTCAGAAACGAAGCTGTTACGGACCTATGTTCACATGAAGAATTTTTCTTAAAATCATCCAAGGATTATCACCCTTTAGGATCAGCATTCAATTATGAAACATTCTGTATAATGATGAAACCTTTACGGTCCTCCAGAAGTTCTTTGTCTCTAAGGAAATCAATGAAATTCAACCGGTTGATCGCTGGGTTATCGATAATATCTCTCGGATCTGGATTTTTATAGCGTTCGCGACCGACGAACACGACACCTATAATTACTGGAATCGTTGTATTTACTGAGCATCCATAGGTGCAAGGAGGGGGGAAGTTACGGAACCTTGGACGCTAATGTCAAAATGCAGATCGCAGATAAAGAATATATGAATGAGAATTCAATGTCTCTGAATGGAATCCTTTGTGGTAAGTTAAGTAAGTACTGTCTCTTGTGATTGCGCCTCAATAACAATGTCCCGTCACAGCAAGTTTTTCGGAAATATTCCAGGTACATATACCAGATAGGGTAGCTGTTTAACCGACCGGCACTGGTTCTCGACCATTCTGTCATTTGACACAAAATAATAAGAGATATATTCCTTGTTTCAAAAAAATGACCGTTACATGTGTTTTCGACCACTTCTCCGAATTCGAAACAGTCGGCAAAGTGGGCATAACAGTCGAGCTTTTCGCGCCAAAAATCAGTCAATTACCGTCTGCCATTGAGAGAGGCCGCGTATTCGCCCAAGTTCAGAAAGTGCTAGTTGATACCAGGATACGAAATAGTAAGTAAGAATCATTTTGAATGAATCAGGCATATGGATTTAGTTTTATAGTAACAAGTAGATATAGTTCTTTCTATATTTCGAGAAAAAACACACATAAATATTATTTTTTCGTTAATTATTCGGTGGTCGCGGACCCGTATCACAAAAATTAGCTTTTTTATTTCTCGACCGAAGTGGTCGAGAACCAATGTCTATCTTGAATAATTGATTATTCCTAAAAATATACTTCCTTTGAAAAATGTTTGATTTTTTCTTTATATACTGCTTAATTTACATATCTACTTATTAAATATCAGTTCGCGACCATCAGATTATAGATCTAAATGATATTTGTTTTTGCAATTTTTTTATTGATGGTCGAAAACCAATTTGATCATCTTCAGTTCTCGACCACTAGTGGTCGAGAACCAGTTTGCACTAATTTTTGGTTCTCGACCACATCTACTACCCCTCAGTCAAGCATTTGACAACCACTTAATGTATCCTGATCCTATCAAGAGAAGTAAAAACACTAATAGAAAGAAAATGGGAAATGCACCAAGTGCAATTTCCTGTGATAAATGGAGGGAATACTATAGAAGGAAAGATAGTGAAAAACAACAAAAAAGTATGGAAATTCAAAAAAGAAAGAGGACAGGAAGCGACTCAAAGAAAGACGACTACAAGATAAATTGTCCAACGAGAAAAGAAAAAATGTCAGAAAAGTTCCTGCAGAAACCTCAGCAAAAATTAAAAAGATTCCCTGTGCCTTATGCCATGCAAATTTGAACAGTGACACCGAAGATGAAGACAAAAAGAATATTGGCTGCGATTTTTGTGAGAATTGGTTCCATAAAAAATGTACTGAGTTTTATAATATACCATACACTATTGCAGCTGCGAAAGATTACAAATGTGATTTATGTTAAGCTTATCCTTGTTCGTACCTATAGATTTAACAAATCAAAAACAATGACTAAGTTCCTATTTAGAAAAACAAGTTTATTTTTACGTTTTTTGTTGTTTGCTTACATGAAATGATTTAATAAATAAAAATTTTATATATCAAGTGTTTTTCAATTATCTAAATTCTTTGAGAATCAGTCAGATGGGTGGTGGTCGAGAATCGACATGAAAATGGTCGAGAACTCTGCGGGGTGGTCAAGAACCAGTGAAATTGTAGATTTTTCCCTTTTATCGATATTTCGATAGTTTAATGCCAAGAAAAGCTCAAAAAACATTCACGAATCATTCTGAACATATCAAGGAATCAGAAAAAACCTAGGTAAATGAAATTCTATAAGATTTTGCATGAATTTTTTATCTTCAAAGTTGAGATTCCCGATAACTGGTCGAGAACCAGTGCATTTACCCTATCACGATATCATAAAATTCGTTAATTAAAGTCTGCCATTGACAGGCGATGTGATATCGTTCATGTTTGAAAAGTGCTAGTTGACATCAGGCCAGGAAATAGTGAATAATTTGTATTTTGAATATATTAGGTGTATGTAATTTGTTTAATATTAACTAGTACGTATAGTTTTTCCTGTATTCCAAAAAAAACAGACATAAATATTATTTTTTTGTTAGATATTCGGTGGTCGCGAGCCCGTATTACAGAAATTTGCTCTTTTATATCTCAATGAAGTGGTCGAGAACCAAAGCATATCTTAAATAATTGTTATGGGTTATTCTCCAAGACGATGCCTAGTTTTCTTGACAGATTTTCGAATTTTTTTCAGATACTGATTCTTTTACATATCCACGTATTAAATAATAGTTTGCGACCACCAAATACCCCACAATAACAAACTAATACTAATTATTATTAGTCAAGTATCTGACACTTATATTTGTATCGGTATATTATTATGATATATAAAAATCTCATTCCATTTTTTGTAATGAGCTATTTATGCCGTAATGTTTTATCTGAATAATCCTCTTGAATTTATGATTTGGCATAGCGATTCCACAGAGGTCCGGAATAAAATGTATTTTCCACAAAGGAAACAAGCAAAATAATTCTCTCTATTCAACTATTTACCTACTCTGAGGTACCATCAACCATCAGACACATACTGCTTTTATATTACCCCTTTCCTGATAAATGAAACACCAATTGTGAAGATTCCTGAAATGCGATTATCCGTTATAATTATTGCACAAGCGCATAAAAGTTACCGATAATTTTGCAGGAAAGCGTGTTATCTGAAATTTGCAAGAGTGTATTTTCATATTTTGGCGAAAGAACTCGAGGCCGAAGGAGGGATAGGCTCTTTTACAAAGTATGAAATAAACAGAATACAATTTATATAAGACAACACGCTCGAATGCAAAATTATCTGTATATTTTTATGCACGAATGTAACTCACTTGAATATTCAACGATTAAAAAAATTCTAGACGAAATGTTGTTTTTTTTTTAGAAATATTATAATACTGACAGACTATAAATAAAATGTGATGCTTTAAGCCATTAAGATGGTATGGAGCAGTCACCAAAACGCGAAATTTTCATACTTTTTTTTTACTTCAGTGTCCTGAAGATGAAACAATAATGTTTCGAAACGTCGAAAATTCAACAATTGGTTTTCTTCAACAGAAATCATATTAAACGGTCGCCATTCTATTCAACTATAAAAAATATTAGCACCTTCGTAATCAGTAGTGTATTTATCAACACACTCATCATTTTATTTTCAATTTCTTTTCAGTTTGGCTATCTATAAAACCGTCTTCCCTCATTTTTCAAACTATTATTTATTGAAAAATATTTTTTATTTCGAAGTGATATTTGATTTTGGTAGAGACTTTAATTTTAAGTGACGTTATTTGATCTGATTTTGATGTGTTCGATTCGAAAGGTCATTCTAGACTCGCTGACTGTCAGTCATTATTGTCATGAATAAACAAGAATGTTTGTTATCTCAAGAAAATGCTGAAAATGCACTTCTCGACTTCTCTAGAATCACGTGGGTAGATTAATAGGTATCGTATGATTACATTAAACAGTGAATTAAGTTCAGATGGAATATCAGGATATATAAGATAAATTCACAAATATTGCACATTATCTCTGCAATTTTGTCTTATTATATTTTTGGATATTTCAGCAGAATTCATTATTGATTTCGGGGCGAAGATTATTAGATATGTCTGCCATATTCCCGCAGTTCAACTTTAGCTCCTAGGAACTGAAAGTGTTGTCAATTAAAGAGCTAATTTTTTAATTCAAATGGTAGTAGATTGTTTTATTAGGATCAGTGACACTTTGTTGGACAATAAGCGAATTCTACCTGCATTAACAGCAATTCTTCCTGCATTAACAGCAGGTTCTTTAAATTTTCGAGGATATTCGAATAGTAGTTTCAATATAAATACAACCACAGAGTGACATATTTGTGTATGGCAGTATGGACCAGATGCTCTAATGGCAAATACCGTGTCAGTGCCAGGTCACAGGCCAGGTATAGGTACAAGATGTGGAAAATGTTAGATCAGTGAGCATATCAATAATAATAATGGCGATTATTTATTTCTCTCCACTGTGTTTGGCTTGATAATCAAATGTAGGTGAACAGTATCGTTGTTTGATTATTTATTTCTCTCCATACTTCACTGTGTTTGGCTTTATAATCAAATGTAGGTAAATAATATCGTTTTTTGAGACAAAAAAACTATTGCTGTCCCTGATTATTCAGAAACAAGTCATCTATCCCGAGGATAACGAATGATATACAGATCAAGCAAGTATGAAGTATGTGAATCTTGAAGGCTTTCCTCATCAAAACAAAAATACTCAACTATACCCTTTACCCTTGATTATATACACTAGTGTGAATACTTAAAGACTATACTAAGGTGTATGTATCTCCAGCATGGGTATGAAATGCTAAATCTGTCGAAATCGGTATGCGTTCCAACCCAAATAACCAACCATAGCAATGTTGTTTATTCTTGATGACCTCTAGTACATCCTTTTTAGTTCCTAGGAGCTAAAGTTCAGCTTTAGCTCTTAGGAACTGGAGTTCAACTCCAGAAAAGAGGAACTAAATGTGTTGCCTAGCAACATACCTATTTTTGTGTCAGTAATAGAAACGTCAATTCAAGAGCTAATTTTGGTATTAAAATGGACGACTTTTGTGTCGGTTGCAGAAAAAAGGTTGTTTCGATAGGCATTCAAGGTTAATTATGAAATAATTCAGGTTCTCGGTGGTCTATTTTCCTTTTTTGGTTGTACTATAGGTACTAGGTACTTCTCGTAAACTGTTAACAAACCTCGCGGTACTGTCGGTACCACTCTCTATCCCGCGAGTGAGTGACAACCCTGGCTGTGTGCGTTGCTTGCGGTAGACGCGGCCCCAAGAAGGAGTACCATCAAGTACCGAGATAGTACCTTCGACGGGGTTGTCCGGTTATCGACCCGTACCAACGGTGCGTGTCACCCCTCCGAGCACGCCCTTGAGGACATGGACGGAACCTTGGGGTGTACCATAGGGAAAATCATAGCGGAAATTCAGAATCACGAGTAGCAGGAATGACCATATCTCTATTATCTCTTGTCGAAGTTGGCCCAACCAATGAACTATGAACTAATAATATTAATCTTTGGTTGAAGTCCATATTGCTTGAAGTGGAGTGACATTTTTCAAAGGAACGAAGGAATTCACAAAGTCATCTCCACAAATTTTGATGGTGTTGTTACACAATCAGAAGGGGCATGTTTCGGTCTCATAAAAGACCATCTTCAGCCTAATTGAAAGTTCTACAATACATAAAGATTGATGTGAAAGAATAACATAATATGTTCTTGACTTACTTGGAGTTGAAAAAATGTGATGCTACTAGTAGTTGTGGAATTGTTGTCAATGCTCATAGTCGAAAAATCGAGTTTATAAATGAAAAAAAAGAGTTCTCAATAAATGAAGGCCTCCGTGCCCTGCTAAGAGCGCATACAATTAATCTTATCGAAATTTCATGTACCAATTATTCCAGATTTTTTGAGATTTTCT